AGTACTGGGGGGCTCGTTCCCCTAGAGGCGTGAAGCTGACTACTCACCTCCATCTAGTGTCGGGATCAAGAATTATGGAGCTATACCTCCACTCCCCCGTACGTCTGCACGGCATAGTGATTAATAAAGTATGCACAGGAAAGTCTTTCCTTTTCTACCTGAGAAAATTTGCAGAAGAATTCGACCCGCCATCTTTGGAGAGTTAAGACTAACTACTATAAGGATTTTCAGCAATAATAATTATGTGCGATTATGGAAACATTCCAAGTGAGGTAAATTATATTTTACGTCGTGTACTTGTCTCGTATGTGATGGGCAGTTTTCTTCTCTGTGCGTGAAAATCATTAAGTTTAAATTCGAGCTTTATGAAAAGTAGAAGTTATTCTGAACCAATACGGACAAAATTTAAAACAGCCAACAGAAGATTAGCTCACGTTTTCAAAAATAACTCCTATCGAAATTCGTTAAGTGCCTCCTAGTTAACGACATGAAACACGTGGAAAATGTAGAAAAGCGAGTGTTTTGTGTAAATAACTAATAAAAGTTATCGACATGAAGCATATGTCAAACAACTATATTTTAATCAATAGATTATTGATCAAAACTATCCCTGTAACAGGCCGTGAAGGCCCACAGGGTTGTGAGAAGTCGAGAATCTCAAATTTTTTCTAGTGAATCGGCTCGAAAATAAGGTTGACAGCCTCACGCGCCGGCCACATTTTGCCTCCAGGGAGATTCCTGGTACTCCTTTCTGTTAGAGGCTGAGTGGACCCCAGGACCATAGTGCTCAAAATATTAATAGACAAATATTATTTATACTGAAGATTAGTCAATACGACTTCTATCCCTGATGTGAAGTCATATCCTGCAATATATAATAAAGATGCGTGTCTGTAGAGGAGGAATGTGACATGTAAGTAGTCACAAGTACCGTACACGAGTCATAAATGTAATAAATGAACGTTTCATTATTCTGTACAGGAATGAACTCGCTTTCGAGTCAGGAGAATTACTGCTCCGTATTCTGTAAACGCCCGGTTCAAACCTCGGTCCGGAGAATAGCTGTTATGAGAGTTTTTTTCATGGTTTCCTTCAGGTCTTCCATGAAGAAGCCATTACAGTAACTAAAATGAGGTCACAACAGTTTCTTTCAGATCCTTTCCACTGCATTATTTACTATATAATCACTCATATCATATAAAATATTATCATTAAACCGAAAAGAAAGAAGAACAACTCTAACTGCTACCATAGCTGCCCTAGTATCTTCTGAGAATTGACACTATGTAGTCATAATATTTCGGAGAAAAGAGTTGCCTCCATCTTCAGGGTTGGAGAGAAAGCCAAGCGAGAAAGCAAGCAGCAGGGTAGATAGGTCCCAACGTTTAGGAAGAGTCTACTGTTGCATTGTCAAACCAGAAGTGTATTTCCTTCTGTTGCGTCTATCTTCAGAGTTGCAGAAATTAGAGGCAATATTTTCTTCCAAAATGTCGGGTAACATCTACCAGACTAAAAACATGGCATCTTCACCTTCACCGCCATTGGAAGTCTATGAACTAGGTACCCTGTTGGCCAGAATACATGGGGAAATGTTCTCCCCCAAATACTGCTTCTTAGATAAGAGGGGTCTCATTGTTTCCGGGGCCTTAAGGATCAGTGTAAAGATGATTTTTGGGAGATATAATTACTAATTCTAATGATATCTATGAAAATGCCTAAAATTAGATTCACAGTATTAAAATCTAAATTTATTTTCCTTATTAGTATGAGTTTTACTTTTTTCTTTGGCCCCCAGAGCTAAATTACATACTCAATTTTGTAAAGGAAAGTTTCTTTCTGATTTTCTTGTTGGTAAAACAGGGTCGCCTCACCACTAACTCACTCATGACGCCGAGAACTTCTTGAGAACCCGCCAATTGTGCAGCTACTCAAGAACTCAGCATTTTATGGAATCTGAAGGTTCATTACCTTTTTCACAAGAGCCCTACACTGGTCCATATCTGAGCCAGATCAATCCAATCCATATCATCGTATCATATCTCTTTAAGATGCATTTTATTATTGTTCACCCACCTACGCCTTGGTCTTCCCAATGGCCTCTTCTCTTCTGGTTTTTCCAGAAATATCCTATATGCATTCCTCTTCTCCCCAATTCGTGCTACATGCCATGCCCACCTAATCCTCCTTGACTTGATTATTCTCATTACACTTGGAGAAGAGTACAAGTTATGAAAACCTCTCATAATTCAAGACAAGTTTTGAAACACATACGTGATTCCCGTCGAAACTTTTTTGGGATACGAATTATTTCAAATTTTGTGCATAAACTGAGAATTATTAATATTGTACCGTGTAGAGCCGTTTCTAGGCAATGGCTCGGTAAACACGTTCATGCGTCAATGTATACGTATGGAACAACGGAGGGGCTGCTTAAAACGGAGTTATCTATGGTGGTTCGTGCCGAAGGGTTATAAAGAAAACAACTGGGACAACCAAGTCAGAACTGAATGGGAGTGTAAGGAAAGGAGTCAGCGACACTTAATTAAAGGGGCAGTTGGACGGGAGCCTCCGTTCAGAGATGACTTGAGCCCGGAAGCAGGGGAATAACCATTGTTAGAAACCGTTACCAGGCAACTACTAATGCAGACACTGCAGGCTGAAAGAGTTAGCGTGATTTTTTGAAGTGTGGAAAGAGCGACAGCGTTATAGTTATTTAGAGTTACAAACTGTAAGTGAAAAATAAACCGAATATCCAATCCAAAACCCCGTCTATAGTCACATATACGTATAACCATATTTTTATACCGCACAACTTAAAATTAGCGTAAAATTCCGCCGTTCAGAGATGACTTGAGTCAGGAAGCAAAGAAATATCCATTGTTAGAAACCGTTACCAGGCAACTACTAATGAAGACACTACAGGCTGGAAGACTTAGCGTTATTATTTGAAGTGTGGAAATAGCGACAGCATTATAGTTATTTGTATTTACGAACAATAAGTGGAAAATAAATCCAATATCCAATCCAAAACCCCGTCTACAGTCACACATACAAACAAAAAACAAACTCCGTGGACTGCAGTCCGCAAGCGAACTATACCGGCCAAACGATCGCTGCTTGTCGGCGAAGTTAGTGCCAAATTTAGAGGATAGAGTGTGCCACGTGGTCAGCGCAACGGATCCCCACTGCCGTTAATCTCGGATTTTCTAGGCCTGAGCCGTTATTCCCTTGAAACAGCTCCTCAGTTATCCTCGCGAGGTTGAGTGAACCCCGTTCCAGACCCACTACTTGTCAGAAAATGTGGGGGCGCCGGGAATCGAACCCGGTCCTCTGGATCTGTAGCGAGGAACTCTGAGCGCTACACCACAGAGACGGTCGAGACACACATACACGTGACAATACTTTTATAGAGCGCTGTTTCAAATTCGCATAAACTGCGACGGCACTGCGTGTACGCGAAGCCTTCAGCCTTGTTTACAAATGGATTAGGCACCATAAGCAGAGAGCTGTAACACAAGATGTGACGGGGATAATGTATGTTGGTGGTAAGCGCTTGCATTCCTGAGATTTCTGTGTCTGCATGGGAGGCAGGCATCCTGCGGCTACCAATGATGCTGTAGCACCATCTGCTAGTCCCTTGCCAAAACCTCCAGCATCAGCTTCCATGGACCCGTAACACGTATTGACACTCCCCTTATGTACCAGTAATTGGCCCACCCTGAGAGCTACAAAGGCCTCTCCCTCCACAAGGATCATATGTTCTAACAAGATAGCACCCTACAGTGAGGATGGCAAACTTGTATCCAACTATATGATTTAGAGTCCTTCTTGAGAAGCTGAGAGAGTCCCTCATCACACAAGAAACTTCGCAGCCCTACATGGAGACTGAGGAATCATTACCGTGTTCGCAACACGCTGCTATTGAGTCCTATCTTGGTCTCTCTTCGACAAAAAAAAAAAACGAACAAAGAAACTCCGTGGTTTTAGTCCGCAAGCCAACTATACCAACAGAGTGACCGCCGATTGTCGGCAAAGTTAGTGCCAACTTTCTGTGATCTAGCGGTCAGAGTTCCTGGCTACAGACCAAGAGGTCCGGGTTCGATTCCCGCCGCTACCAAATTTTCTGAGGAGTAGTGGGTCTGGAACGGGGTCCAATAAGCCTCGTGAGGATAACTGAGGAGCCATTTCAAAGAAATAGCGGTTCCAGTCTAGAAAACCGTTATTATCGGCCGTGGAGATTTGTTGCGCTGATAACGCGACACCTTCTATCCGCTAAGGTTGGCCTCTCTTCGACAGAAGAACGTAAACTGAAGAAGTCTGAAGAAACATATGTTGAGTACAATGTTTAGAGATCTTACAGAGGATTACGTAACAAATATGGAGAACTCAGAATTACTGGGTTTTTGGACTTAGTCCATCGTACGATATTTTAAAAAATAGACAACACAATTGCGTCTTCTGGGATGTGGGGCCGTGTAGATCTAGTATAAACCTACGTTTCGGAGGAACGTATAGCCTCCATCTTCAGGGTAGAAAAATCAGCGAGCGAGGAACCAACATAAGCAAGTGAACAGATCGGTTTACACAATATCTACACGGCGCCACATCCGAGAAGACGGCATTCTTCATAGTCACCGCCGTGAAAACCTCAAATCTTATATAGAGAACACAATCTTTCGGAAACTGGATTCCGGTTGGGGTAGGAAATTTTTCATTTCTCCGCAGCGTCCAGATCTGTTCTGGGGCTCACTATGCCATTGTTTCAATGAATACACAGTGCTCTATCCATGGGGAAAGCTTACGGGGCGTGAAGCTGATGTGCATCTACTGTCGAGGTCAAAAATGGAGGAGTTATAATTCCACTCCCCCATATGCCTTGATGGCATAGTACTCAGTTACATAATTAAGTATAAATCACAACTTTTCCTTTAACTTTTAGTGATGTAAGTCACTGTAGGCGAGATTCATGTACGTTACTGCTTTCACTTCCTATGTTTCAGATCACCAAGCTCAAGATTGACAGCAATCCATTTGCTAAGGGCTTTCGGGATTCCTCGAGACTCACAGAATTTGAAAGGTAAATATCATATAATTCAGCAGTAGCAATCACTTAAGCGTGTGTCTATGAATAAGAGTTTTATATTGGGCCTAAAATATCTTTGAGAGTTCGTCATCAAATAGGTCATTACACTACAAGAACCTATAAAGACAAATAAATCTCTGTAACAGGCCGTGGAGGCCCATGGGGTTGTGAGACGTTGAGGCTCCCACATTTTCTCTAGACAATCGGCTCACAGATGGCGGCGAGATTGTCAGCCTTACGCGCCAAGCTATCCCTGTAACAGGCCGCGGAGGCCCACAGGGTTGTGAGACGTCGCGGCTCCCACATTTTCTAGACAATCGGCTCACAGATGGCGGTAAATTTGTCAGCCTTACGCGCTGACCGCCCTTTACCCCCCAGGAACATTCGTGGTACTCATTTGTGTTAGATGCTGAGTCTACCCCAGGGCCATAGTGCGGCTGGAAGGATTAGGTAAACTGAAAAATTCAATGACCTCATCGGGGATCGTACCCACGACGTTTCGGCTTGTAGCATAGTGCCCCACATATTTCAGAGGACATTTCTTGAGGGAGGATTACTATGCCACCAGATTTAAATGAACACCCACCGTGGGCCAACATTTCTTTATAAATGTTGGTAACCATGACTACAAGCAGTCTGCATAATGCCTGGTTAGCTTCCACATACAGCAATACGCCGATGAGGCTAGAGAGAAAATTTCTGGCCCTGTTATGGGCTTCGTTTTAAGTGGAAAATTGCTGTCTTCCATTACGTGACCCTGTGTAGTCTGATAGAAATTCATTGACTTTCCACAGGATCGTACTGCCTCCAGCTTCAGGGTCGAATAGCTGGCAGAGTAAGCAAACATGAGACAACAAAGTAAACGTAGCCAACGTTTCGTAAACCTCAGACTCAAAGTAATTAATATATTCTGCAAAAATTAAACATACGTAATATCAGACGCTTGCTACTCGCTTGTTTCAGCAACACGTTAAAGGTTAAACTGTTCCTGTGCTTACTCATTAAACATCTCGCCATGAAGGCGCATGGGGGAGTGGATGTACAGCTCCACCATTCTTGATTTCGGCACTAGATGGAGCTGAGTGGTCAGCTTCAAGCCCCGGCCGCTATACCAACGGTACCCTTTGGATAGGAAGCTGGGTAGGATTTAAAACCGTTGGGGACACACTGGAATAGAGAGACATCCCTTGCCCCAGTCGTGAATCGAACCCGGACCCCCAGCTCTTATCCCATCTCTATACCGACTGAGCTATCCCGGTTTTAGCTTCAGTGGTCTCACCATTCCTCGACACTGAAGATGGTGCAATTAAACTATTCAGAAAAAAAACGTGGCTTTAGGCCGCAAGCGAACTATACCGACCGAGCGACCGCCGCTTGTCGCCGAAGTTACTGCCAACTTTAGTGGATAGAGAGTGTCGCGTAGCCAGCGCAACGGATTCCCACGGCCGTTAATTTCGGTTTTCTAGACCGGAGCTGCTACTTCTCCATTCAAGTGGACCCCGTTCCAGAACCACTATTGCTCAGAAAATCGGGTAGCGTCGGGAATCGAACCCGGGACCTCTGGATCTGTAGCGAGGAACTCTGATCAATAATCAACAGAGGCGGTCAAACTATTCCGAAATGTTGGTGAATTACTAATAGACTACTCTTCGTCACAACCCGGGAGACAGAACCCTTCGTAGCTACAGCTGTGGGAGCCTCAGTCTTCACGTCCTTTACCGGCCTGCAGTACGCCTCAAATTATTTGAATTCGTGGCCTGACGCAGGGTCTGCTTCATGGTGGACATTTCATTCCTACAAGAGGATTTCAAGTGTGCGTCTGGCAATGTCATATTCCTTTATAATGGTGTGCGACCGAGATTTGATGCCCCGGTACTTAGTGTCGGTCTCACAGGCGTTCATTTGTCAAGCTCACAGCTGTTGTTGCTTCGGACACACACAGTTAAGTGCAAATTGCATGGAAATGTCTTGATACAGCAGACTTCAGGACGAACGAATATACGCCGGTTCCACCCACTCAAACCCTACGCGTTATCGGCTTACACCAATATTACGTTAACGCGAATGTACATGATTTTTACACTCACTCACTCACTCATGGTGCTGACTTCAATTCTGCAGGTACTCAAGAAATTCCCAGAATTTTATGGAACCCGAAGGTTCATTATCGTGTTCACGAGATCCTTCCACTGGTCCCTATCCTGAGTCAGATCAATCCAATCCATACCATCCCATCCCATCTCTTTAAGATCCGACCACATACATCTTGGTCTTCCCAGTTGTCTCATTCCTTCTGGTTTTCCCACCAATATCCTACATGCATTCATCCTCTCCCCCATTCGTACTACATGCCCTACCCATATCATCCTCCTTGATTTGATCAACCTAATTATATGATTTTTACACTACACTACTTTCCTTAATGTTTTTTTTTTAATAAAGTGAGTCTTATGAGATCACCTTGCTATTTGTCTGGGTATCTGCCTCTGTCTGTCCATGTATCCGCCATTATTTCTGAGGCTTATTAAATCACTTTGCTCTCTGTCTCCCTGTCTGCATATCTTCCCCTAATCATCGTGCTGTCTGTCTGCATGTTCCCCGCCCTCATTTGTTTTCGTTTTCTCTTCCGTCCGTTTCGTATTTACAGAAATCAGGCGCTTAGTTCTTCCCAGAACTTCTCGTATATTTTAATTTTTTAGTCATTGAGTAATAACCAAATTATTTGAATATTCATATCTTCTGGGACGTAACGCCATGTAGTCCGTTGAAAATCAATCGACGTTTCGGAGGAGAATGTCGCGTCTCAGAAGAACAAGACAAGCAAGAAACCAACATGAAGCACGTGGGTTTTATATTAATACACTCTCCATTTTGCCCACAGAGTGTATTTGGTGTTTCGCATGATTCTCAGAATATAAAGACATTATTTAGCTTTACACAGCGTTAAACGGTTTATCTTTATAATAGAGACTCATTGTGTTTTCTGTGCGGATGAAACTGAGTTCTTAAATAATGTTTAAGTTAAATTGGGGTTTCTTGCTTTTCCTCAGTCTTCAAAACAAACGCTGAGATTGTTCCCAAGTTCCAAGTTGCTACTTCGTGATTCTCATGCAGCCTTCCTCACTTCAATTCGTCAAAATTAAGCCCCACTGTTGTCAAAGCCGCCAAAATTTTTTTTTAATTATACAGTTCAACATTAATTTAGAAAATCTAAGTGCTTCGGCCCCTGTCTCAAGCCACTGCCTAACGCCCTCATTTCTAGTTTACTGTTATCACAAAGAAAGACGGATCGACGACCGTGAACCTTTTAACAAAACGATGTTCTGTCTCGAACGCCCTGGACGGCCGGGGTTCAATTCCCGGCAGAGGTAAAATTCCTCTCCTCTCTATTTCATCCAGAACGTCTTGGGGCCCACCCAGCCTCCTATGCAATAGGTATTGAGGTTAAACTAGCCGGGGCTTGAAGCTGTTCACTAACATTTGTGTAGTGCCGAGGTCAAAATTGGTGGGGCTATACCTCCAATCCCCCTGTATCTTCATGCCACAGAGACAACATTACCTTTCGTCATATGGCTAACGTATCGTTTCTCGTGAACCTCTGTAGCTGACAGAGCGTCGTTAAGCTATGATGCAAAAGTTTCCGTGAACAGGCCGGAGCATTGACGGGCAGCAGAGCGCTACAAGTGACGCGTACGAGCGGTCCGCCTCGCCGGTTCGTGACCGCGACAAGTGCGGTGAAGATACAGCTCTACTCGGCGAGTGCCAGTGCGCTTGCTTCCTGGGCCAGTCCAGCCGCTTCCACGGGCACCACGACGTAAAACCTGCGTCCAGTATCACCCGTTTAACGCCTCCTCTTGCTAATTTTTACGTAAAGCCTTTTCATGTTGCTAGAAATATCAGGGAGGCCATTCTACCTTTGGCTGACCGAATGAGCCACTGAAGTGCTCTAGGTTTAGAAGCGCAATAACCCCCAGAGGCAAGATATATATGCCAAGTTTCTGTTAGTTCAAATGTTATTAGAGGGTATGGACACACGAACATGTCATAAAACTAACTTCCTTTCTAAAGACTGAGAAAAAAAAAAGAGAAGGAAAAGTGGGAAATGTAGTGAGTGACACTACATTTCAGAGGGGGGTCAAAAAAATATTGATCTCCGGTTTTGAAGGTTCCCAGGCAGTGCCCTCTCGTCTTTCTGGCAGAGTTATATTTGAGTGAAGCTTCAGAAAGCGACAAGATATGAAGCATGAAGGAAAGAAGTTGAGCCAGGGTTTCTCTGCGTATGATATGAATTAATTTTTATATTACGTTGTTTAGGGTAGCATTTTACTGAAATTCTGATCTGACATTGGGAAGAGTTACACTGGGGCGAAATTCTGATGTTACCATTGGGAGCGCAGGCAGTGCAACGTAGAATTTGGGTACAAACACAGCATTTGCTTTAGGACTTTCTTCTAAATAATACTGTCACATGTAGAGTGGTACGCGTGACGAAATTAACGGGCTCTAGTTCGAATGATTGGATTTATTGGCATTTCGGTTACACCCTCTCTTAATTACACTCAATTATAACGCTAACACTATTCTACACACTTTCAGTTCACCGCTGCACACTCAATAGGATTCTCTGTCTTCACTAGTCGTCTCCTGGCAACGGATCTCAACACAGAATCTAGCGCTTCAAATCACTATGAAGTCTTATTGACATTTCTTGTTCAATCAGAACAGGTCTTCATTATATAGGCTCCGCAAGGACAATACAGAAAATTCTATTATTGCTTAGAGCAGACCACACAGAAAACAAGTCACATGATAGCTACCTCGCCAGTCCATTGGCGCGCTGACTGTTGCTTAGCAACGACCTGTAAACATTCGTCCTACTGTTGAGTGGGTGTATCGCGGGGGGTTTATCAGGCCATCGTCTGGCAATGCGTTGACATGTAACAATATATAACAATTGAGTTTGTACCTCGCAGGAAACACATTACGTCTCCGCTACGAAACCCTACTCGTTATTGTTGTTTGTTGTGAGAAACATGCGAAACACAGAAACAGACTCTGAGGGTCGAATGAAGAATTTTAGTACAATGAAGTCAGCGGTATATATAGTGACCACTGGGATTTAAAGAGTTAAGAAAAGAAGACTATGAAAATGAGCGTACGATTCGAAAGCTACAATAAAACAAACTTCACACTGTCCATACTTCAGCCGGGGTAGTCATTACCTCTGATTCTAAGTACGAATATATGCCGCATAGAGTAGGTGCGTCAATTGTTTTCCTTTAAGCCAAACGTGTGCACGCGCGCCGGAAGAGCACAGTGGCAACAGGTATATTTAAATTATTATCCAAATTATTATCTGCTGAGAGAGATAAGAATCGTGGGCTCTCAACCGCTGTGTTCTGTCGCCGGAGGCTATGCGTTTAGAGTATCAAGTTCCACCCTGTCCACTGGTCCACTCCGCGTTTCATCTGACACGCCACATTATCGTCAAAACTAGGTCCGTACATGATTCCTTGTAATTCTGTTTGTTAAAAAATTTGGGGAGGGGGAGGCATCTGGTTTTAAACACTTGTTTGATGTAAGGATATTTAGAAACTAAATTCCTGCTGCACATCTGTCATAAATTAGGTAAAAGTTTCTCAAACTGTGTCCCGAAACGTGAATTTTTGTATGCCGAATTTTAGATGTACTTTAAGGAGGAAAAGTAGAACATGTCTGTACGCCTGCGTATGTATTAGTATCAGAAAGAAAACGATTGGATAGGTTTTCTTAATATTCGATTCGAAAGAATATATAAAGTCTCTAAAGGGTTCTGAGGATGGTGTATAACACAGAGAATTGCTGGGATTTTCGACTTTTTTCATCTTTCGATATTCTAGAGAACAGAAAACACGACGTTTCGGAAACTGGATCTTTTTCCGTTCTCAGGTGAAGGAGAGAGAAAACACCTACTCAGTTGGGCCACTTACAAAGAGAAAACTCCTGTCAGATTTACACAGCCTGGTCTCAAGTGATTAAATAGCTGTTTGCGGAATCATCGGTTAGCAAAGGGCACGTGGTTATCGAGCCGTTGCCCAGAACCTGCCTTGGTACACCGGTCCATCTTGCGGTCCTGGCTCTACACACCACATTATTTTTAGAATTTATTTGCTATTTCTTCATGCATCAGACTTCCAAAACAGAAAACCCTCATTTTGAGACCAATAAATTTAGCGAAATTCATATACTTTGGTATAATTTGAAACACGCATTCCGATAAACAACTAAAACATCTTATGTTTAAATGTAATTACCATGGAAGATGGAGAAAAAGTTATCGAAATTTGTTATTTTAACAATAACAACTTCGCTGCCATTTTATGAGTGACTAAGAGAATACAACGAAAGAATAAACACAAAATATTGATATTATTTTGCATCAACCATGACGTTACGTTTATCGCAAGCCAAGATACACACCCAGCGGAAAATGTGCCTCCAAAAACAATATCTAAAGCAAATGGCTAAACATCGCAACGATAAATGTGTCTGCTCTGCTTATCCAGTGACCCTACAAAAGCACAGAAACTTGTCAATTATATATACACGGGTGGAATGAACTTTATATTTAGGGTTCAGTTTTGGTTAATATCCAATTATGGATTGAAAATTATTGTCTGTCATTGTCTTCTCGGGCCTACACTCCGTGTTCTTCTAGGAACTTACTCACTCACTCATGGAACTGAGCCAATTGCCAATTGTGCAGCTACTCAAGAACTTCCCAGCATTTTATGGAACCAGAAGGTTCATTACCGTGTTCACAAGAGCCCTCCACTGGTCCCTATCCTGAGCCAGATCGATCCAGTCCATACCACCCCATCCTATGCCTCTAAGATCCATTTTATTATTGTCTATACATCTAAGTCTTGGACTTCCTAATGGTCTCTTTATTTCTGGCTTTTCCACCAATATCCTATCTGCATTCCTATTATCCTCCATTTTTGCTACATGCCATGCCCATCTCGTCTTCCTTGACTTGATCACTCTAATTATACTTGGTGAACAGTACAAGTTATGAAGCTCCTCATTATGCAGTCTTCTCCAGCCTCCTGTCACTTCATCTCTCTTCGGTCCAAATATTCCCTTGTTCAACACCCTGTTCTCAAACACAAGCATTAACATATGAAACTGAGAAAGTATTGTGACGCATTGCGCTGTGGAGGACATCCCCTCCCCCGCCAGCGGTGACGTGGCGGCATCGAAGCGCTGTCGTTACTACGGTAACAGGCCAGTCAACACCTCACCTCCTCCCCGCTGTGGCGTAACAAGGGATGCTACGATTGCTATGCAGCAGTAAACAACTCTCGACAGCGTTGCCCAGCAAAATCTGTAAACACGGCGACTAGGTAACAAGGAAGCGAGGCGTTTTCCCGTTGTCCGGTTGAGGGTTTATAAGAGAACTACACTGCCTAAGAAGTCAGTTGAAATATAGCAGCAGTCGCGGAAAGAAGACCCGAACGCGTGGATAGAAGATCTTAATGTGATAGTGTGCGATAACAGAAGTCAGCCAGTGAAGACGTATTGTGTGCCTTCAAGACTCTGTGTGTGCCGTAGAACAGTTATATTGGGAGTGTGTAATTCAGAGAGACTTGGATAGCTCTCGCGTTATAAATACGTGAAGACTACTGAGGATAGAGTGAATAGAATAGTGTGTAGGGTTTATAAATTGTGGAAACTCGTAACAGTGTCATAAGTAATTGTAGTTACGATCTGTAGGTTGTTAAATAAACCAATTAACAATCCGAACGACGTCTTCAGTAGCAAAACACGTTACAGTGTATTTTCTTACATAAGAGTTATTTTAAGTTATCGGATATTTGTCATGTAGAATTTCTTTTGTTTTGTATCCAAATTTTATGAACCCAGTTTATGTAACAGCCACTGTAATGTTCCCGGAACAAGTAATTTTTACATCTTCCTAAAATCGAGACATGAGCAGAACCTTGTACTGCTCTCCATTACATTGTGTTTCCTACATTATTCATCTCAGCCTTCCTACCTGTCCCTCCACTGAGCGGGGGTGTAGACCTCAGTCCTAAAGCTGAAGTTTGAAAGGAAATGAAAGCTGCTTAGTTGAAATGTTCAAAAAGAAGAACAGGTCTGACGCCGTTACTTCTGTACGATTTAACACCTCTGTTAATTTCATTGGACGGATATACAGTGTCTCCCCCCTCCCCATGTGAACCCTTCTCGTTTCTGGAAAATATCTTCTCTCTGATTAATTTTCTTTGTTTTCAGCGAGGAAGCGTGACTTGAGCGAACAGTTTTCTTATTATCTCCTTTATCTTCTTCCATCAGCTTTCTGCACATCTCAGTTAATACATTTTGTCTGTCTGTCTGTCGATTCATTTGAAATTGAAATTAAAATTGAATTTCACCATTTCCTGGCATGCTCCTTGTATGGCGGCCTATGCTTATAATTGCTTGCAGAACAGAAAACACCGAGAGTATGTACTTTACAACATCCGGGAGCTGTCAGGGACAGGCGAATAATCGTAATAAAAGTGTTCTGCTTTGCATTAAAATTAACATTCATGACGTAACGGTGGTTGCCTTATGGGAATTTAGTTGTGTGAATAGAATACCGTACTTAAGCGGTATCAGATATTTTGAATTAATTTCCGGTTCATAATTTGGGCGTACTTAAAGTCTTTAAGGAAGAATGGTTTGTCATCTCATGACCTTTTAGTAAACAAAAACATCAAATTAACATCGATGAATTTTTCGTAACAGTCCACACAGAAAAAAAAATAAAATTCCTTTTAATTATTTTTATAATTTATTTAACTGGTCTGCGGGAAGGCGTTAACGTATAAAGGTAAAAGAAAATATGTAATATTTTACCCCGCTTAATTATTTTTTTAAATGGCTCTTCCAGCCCATTCAGGGCCCTGGCCTCTTTTTCAGTTCCTTAATCATTATTCACAGACGGTATGATTCCTTCGATGGATGATCAGCCCGTCGCAAGGCCTCAACCTAAACACAGGACAACACAAACGCAGAATAAACGCATACACACACCAAACATCTGTGCCTTGAGTGGGATTAGAACCCACAATCCCAGCGCTCGAACGAGCAAAGAGAATCCATAGCTTAGACGCCGCCGTTACTGTTGACCGGCGCTTAATTAATTAAGCACCACACAATAAAGACATGTGTGGGAACAGAATACAGCTTCGCCAGTCTTCACCTCGGTACTAGGTGTTCAGCTTCATGCCCCTGCCGCTTTGCCTCATGGAAAGAGCCCCCGATACTCGTTGTCTAGGTTTAATTGGGCCCCACAATCGGTCTAATCCTACGGAAAAGAGAAAAATATATCCGTTGCTGGGAATCGAACGCCTTTCATTGAGCCCGTAGCCTGAGTTATAGATTTTTGTAGCGGTACTTCCCATATTTGTAAGATCTAGGGGCGTATGTGGGTATAATCTTAAAATTGGTCTTACATAATTCGTTTAATAGGCTAAATGGATTGAGCTGGTTCAGGATAGGGACCAATTGTGGGCTTTACAAACACCGTGATAAATCTTCACGTTCCAGAAAGGCAGGGAAGCGCTTGAAGATTACTGTGCTCTGGGATGTGACCTCAAAGCTGAGAGAGGAGGTGTGTTCGATTCCAGAAGAGTTATCATGGCACATGATTCATCTCAATGAACTTGTGTGTCCCTAGGGAGACGATGGAGTCCATGCTGGCGGAACAGCACTACCTGCGTTCCCCTCTGCGTCCCTTCACCGAGTTGGACACCCACAACAACAACCTAACACTGGAGGAGAAAGCGTTACTTGCAGCGCGGTCTCAGCTGTTCCTGCGTGCAGCGGCAGCCGCTGCTGGTCCATATGCCCCTCTCATGGGTCCCATGTGTTCCCTGTACGGCGCCGCAAGTGGTGCTGGCCCCGGGGGCGGTGGGAGCGGAGTTCCTCCGGGCATGCTATGGAGTCAGTGGGCGTGTCTGGGCCCTTCACTCCTTGCGGCACACCACCAACACGCGCAACATCTGGTGGCAGCTGCTGCAGCTTCTAGCAACGCTGTCGCTGTTGCTGCCGCCACTGCCTCTCACCAGGGTCCTTCACCGGCCCTTCCTCGGCCACTCTACCCCCCACAACTGACCAGTGGCCTCTCGCAACACCGGTTCTCACCTTACGGGCCACCGGCGAGCAGCACCAGGAGAACCGTGTCACCAGTGTCACCAGTGACGTCACCGGACAGTATCCAGGATACTTCAGAGATTTCGTCCCACAGTCCCAGTCTGACGTAGGCATGGACATACCGATGTGAGGTTATCATGATGACGAATGTTTCCGGGTAATGACACATGGTCACTTCTACACTGGAGGCTATGAAGCGACACAACCATCTACCAGACTACGAATGGACAATGTTATGACCTCTAAGATAAAGAAGAGAAGCCTTCTCTTTTGGCCATTTTATCAACTTAAATGGCCGCCTCTGTGGTCTAGTGATCAGAGTTCCTGGCTACATATGCACAGGTCCCGGGTTCGATTCCCGGCGCTACCAGATTTTCTGAGAAGTAGTGAGTCTGGAACGGGGTCCACTCAGCCTCGTGAAGATAACTGAGGGACTACTTGAAAAGAAAAGTAGCGGCTCCGGTCTAGAAAACCGAGATTAACGGCCGTGTGAATCCGTTGCCCTGACCACGCAACACCCCCTATCCGCAAAAATTGGCAGTAACTTAGCCGACATACGGCGGTCGCTCGGTCGGTATAGTTCGCTTGCGGGCCACAGGCCACGGAGTTTAGTTTTATAAGCTTAAATATGGCAGCTTCCTCGAAAAGGACAAGTACAGTTGAAAATTAGACTTTTCTCGTGAATATACTTTTCCGAATACGTAATATTAAACATAAATAACATGTAGGGAGTATCAGTGAGAAGTGTAGAATAAATAATTCCGTGATATCGGACTCCACTCACATTGCAGAGAGGTAAATATGACACACAGGTCCAGCGCCCCTACGTCACTTCCAGAAGATTTATTTTTAAGAGAATCTTACGTGAATACATCTGATTTTTCTTCAGGCACTCAACAGATTTATACTAACAATTATTTAATGAACCTCATTAGTGCAACACTGACGAGAAGCCCACCAATAAAAAGTTGACTGTAGGTCCTAACTTAACATTGTTTATTTCAGTTTATATATACAGTACGTAAAACAGCAAGTGTCAGAGGCCCACGAGGTTGGCCATGAGAAGATACACGTACACAAGTTCCTAAGCTGTGTGAAGTTTCGTTAACGTAACGAGAAGATATGTTTTCTTTCTCCTACAGGTCCTGGGATTGTCTAGTGATATGACAAATCAATTAAACGATGAAAATGTAAATTAAGAAAAAAAAATCTGGATTGTCGTATAGCATGCCAAATATTTAGGTACAGTACGTGTTATGTGTATTGCATAAATCTGGATACGTTTAGACATAATTACAAGAAACAGTATTACATTAAATGAAATTTGAATTTATTACGGCATTTTGTGTGAAGATAACTGCCTTCTGGGGTGTGGCATCGTTTAATTTTCTGGAAGTCTAGAGCCACAGAAAAACGCGAAATCTTAAGGCAAGTTTATCGACGTTTCGGAAGAACGTTCTGCCTTCATTTTGAGGGTAGCCTTAAGAGAGTCGATACGTTCTTCCCGAAAAGTCAGTAAACTTCTACAACACTATAGATGTAGTGTCTTCTGGTGTGTGACACCGTGTAGTCCAAAAGAAATTAATTGACGTTTAGAAGGAACGTACTGCTTCCATCCTCAGGGTTGGAACATAGGCGAAGCAAGGTTGCATGGCTTCACATCCCGGAAGGCATGTTCACAATTATTGTAAATCTGCCAGTTATACTTTCGGATGCTATGTATAGTGAAACAGGAAGTTGGACAAATGTATTTTCGATATTCGCTACAGTCCTTCGAAAATATAACACACCCAATGTGCTGTGCCGTACATACTCTTCTACCGCTCTCCCCCCCACCCCCAAATTCCTCTCTCTAATCCTAATTTTTCTGTAGAACAAAAACGACTTGTTTGTTTCAACTGTAAATTTCTTGTTGTTTATAAAAGAAAAACAATTGTATAAAACAATGTAAATTCTTTATTTGTGTTCAGTAAGGTACTTAAAAAAATACCCGAATGATCTAAATAGATGTCCGTTCTGCAAATTTTATAGTTTCTTATTATTAATTTTATGGTTTCTAGTTAAATGTAAGACTTTGCAAATATGGGACGGCTTAGATGAAATCTGAGGCAGGGAAAAGGGAACTGGTTCACTCCAAATACCTTCAATTAAAGTTGTTAAAATAATTTTAAATTTGTTTGGAATTACTTATATATAATTATTTCAACATAAAACTCTACGAATTTGTATCTTTCGTATTTGGCTACTGCAAGTTAAACAATACTGTTGTCTGAAATTGGGTTACATTAACGGTGCCCAATCTGGGGTACATACATTCGTGGGAAATGAAACCATTAATCGGTTTAAAAATTCAGGTGAAATATAAAGCCAGAAGCTTCAGAGCTGCTGAAATCAATAAAATCTTCTCGGAGTATCAACTGACACTCAAACATTATCGACGTTTCAGCATCATCTTTCTGCCTCTCATCATCCTATATCAGATCCTGATGAAGGGAACAGAGATGATCCCCGAAACACTAACATCAGGTGAAATAAATCGTTCTAGCCCCATTTAATTATTTATTCCGTAAGGTCTCGTCATAATTGTCAACCCAGATATTAAACAAAAGTGTAACTGTCATATGTCAACAATTATCAGCTGTATTTAGAACCGAATGTGGAGAACAAAACGGAAGGCTAATTGGATTGGTCATGTTTTACGCAGACACTGCCTTCTAAAAGAAGTTATCGAAGGAAAGATAGATGGGCGGATAGAAGTGACAAGAAGACGAGGAAGAAGACGTAAGAAGATGCTGGATGACCTTGGGGACAGAAGAGGATACTGTCATTTGAAGGCGAAAGCTTTAGATCGCATTAAGTGGAGGAATTGTTTTGGAAGAGACTGTGGACCTGTCGTCTTGACAGATTACTGATGACGATGATGGTGATGATGATGATGATGGAGAACAGTCCAACATTTTCATTCTAAAAATCTGATTCTTAAATGATAGTCTCTGAATGTTACTAATTACCTATTTGATGATCATAAAAATTAACTCTTTAATGCCCAGTGGTCACTGTATGTACCACCTGCTTTAACATCCCACAACTCTGCATCGGTCACCGAGTGTATCTGCATCATTGCGTCATCAACATACACAAATATCCATAAAAAATTATAAGGAGGTAAGGATCCACGCATTATATAACTCTGCACTGGACAGATATAAACTATGTTTTGTTTATAATTATTAAATACAAAATATCAATTTTAATATCCATGTTAAGCTCTCGTTTCATTTCGATTAATTTTCTTCAAGCCTTGTTTTATATTTTATACATAAATTGATAAACCCTTTATATTACACAGAAAATAATTAGAGACATGCCATGCCTTACGGCGACAAAGTTTATGTGTGTGGTATTTATTAAATGTTACCAGGGGTCAGTAATTAATCATCGTCTGAGATACGAAACCTTTTCGCCTCTGTGGTCATTCATTGTAAGAATAAAACGAAAGTGGGGGAAAAAAAGTCTGACGCACGAACAAAGCTTATAGAACCTGCGAATGTGTATGTATGGGAGACCGCACTGTACTTGTCCACTCAACACAGAGACGCGGAGGGAATTGGTTTCCGCTGATGCTCACGGAGCAGATTTATTTTTATAATTAATCAACGAAGGGTCAGCCAAAACTAATTTCATTTGAACCCTATCATTTTCATTAGAGTACATATGGAGCATAATGACAAGCTTATAACTACCCAGTTCAGACATTACCCCCGGCTCTGCTTTCCAAACCCACTCCCAGACGCCGGCTTTCCTACCTGATGCTTAACATAATTTTCCTCAGTCCCTGAAGGAGCTGGCTACGAGCTCGACGGCCGAGGGCTTGGGGTTCGAGTCCTGGTAGGGTAAATAGTTTTCTGTTCTCCACATCGCCTAGACCGGCTGTTGGATCCACCCAGCCTCCGATCCAATGGTTACCGGGGGTAAAGCGGCCGAGGTGCGAAGCTGACAACTCACATCCAACTAGTGCCAAAGTCAAGAATATGTGGATCTACACCTCCCCTCTTCCATACGTCTATATGGCGTGATGCTTCATTAAGTAAGTACAGAACAAATTTACCCTCTTTTTACTTTCTTGTTTTCATTGTGCAGGTCTCTGTCACTATTCCATTGTATGACCTAGGCATTGGCGCGTGTAGTATGCGTGACTATAGACGGGATTCGGATTGGTGAATAGATTTATTGATAACTTACAGGTCATAGATACAAATAACTATAACATTTTCGCTTTTCCCACACTTTACAATTCACTAGGGCACACAGTATAGTGTTCTCAGTTAGTTACTAGATGTTTCCACCTAACGGCTCCAACAATGGTCATTCCTCTGCCTCCGTCTCAAGTCTTCTCTTCACAACCTCTCGTATAGAACTGGCTACCCTAAGTTGCAAAACTCCCGGTTACATCTCGGCACGGACCACATAGAAAACAATTATATTGTTGCGTGCATGTATGTTGCTGGCGTTACCCAGCAACAGCCGCTGTTTACAGAGTCATCGCGTAACAACGAATCTATACGCAACAGCATATAGCATCGAATGTTAAGGTGATTTTCTAAATATCAAATTGGAAAGGATTTGAAAGGAAACGGTCTTGACCCACTAGAGATACTAGTTACTGGAGACAGAGCTACGAAAAAACCCATGCAGGATACTCGGTATCCAGACCAGATTCGAACATAGCACCTTTCGAATTCCAGTCCAGAGAATTACCGCTAGATGGTTCTTAGCCGCCGGGTTCCCACCACGGAGGCTCGGGTTTGATCCGATGTCGTGATGTGCGATTTGTGGTGGACAAAATGTCATTGGAGCAGGTTTCATCCGAGTACTTCGGTTTCCCCTACCAATTCTCATTCCACCAAATTCTCCATATTCATCTATCATCTGGGTCCAATTAGTGGCCGACGTACGAAATGGATTCAGTCTCACCCCACGTCAAGAAACCTAAAAAAAATTATCACACCATTAACTTCTAGAGTTGTTTTCTGTTAGGTCGGACACAGTTCAATGAGTTCACAGATCAGGGCCCGCTCTTCATTACTATTTTGTGCGCAACAGCGCTGAAATCATCACTGATCCATAAACCGGATATTGCTCATACAATCATTTCCAATCGGTTGCTTCATAAACTATTTCACACTCGTACGGTTATGATTGGTGGACCGAGACAGAGATTCTGTCCCTTCGGGCACCGATTCATTGAACTCGTGAGAAAGACATTAAGGGAATCTAAGTGCATTTCGTCAGGGAAAACATTCTCGCAATTATCTTCTGACGACTGCTGATGTTAGCGAACGAAAATTCCTCTTT